TGACAGTGACCATGATGTGTGGAGGCAGATGATGGAAATAGACAGGCAAGGTTTGAAATGCCAAGGGTCTAACCAGAGGGCAGATCAGCTCTAACCCACTAGTTAAGAGCTGGTTTTGATTAAATTTTTAACCATTCTCATCCCTCTCCAACCTGGGAATCCAAACTTGAGCTCAGAGGCCAAGATGGAGGAAACATTCATTTATACCAAACTAGAGGAGAAGGAGACTTGTGCACTGGAAAAATAGCAACTCCTTTGTTGAAATTATTGCTAGAATTGTTAGAGGATTTGGGGAAGAATAAGTTCCCATTTGGGATTGCTTGCAATACAGATTTCTTACACTTTAAGACTTATTACTCTTTTCCCCTCTCTACATTGAGTGACCTTAGATGACCTTCCCTTCTTAGTAGGGGTTTCCCTTAAAGCATTATTAAACACCATTAAACTGCAACCCATGTAATTATTTCCTACATTGACGATGGTGGTAATAACGGTGGAATTCCAACTGATGGAATCCCAATTTAGTGATAAGTATGGTAATGGGATGGGAATACTGATGGTAAAATGGTGGTGATGGGGATGGTTGGAGTAGGGGTGAGGGGTATGGGGCTAGGATAATAGTAATACTGATGTGGTTATGAAGGCAGTGGTGGTTACAAGGGTTATATTGTAGATGATACTGATGGTGGTGGTGGTGGTATTAATGGTGGAGGAGGTGATGGTGGGCGTGGCTATGGTGATGGTATTGTGGTGGTGAAAGTGGTGGTGGTGGTCATGATGAAGACGTACAGGATCCCTGAGAGCAAGAATCTTATCTCTCTTGTTAATCATTCTGTCATCAGAGGCTGGTAATGTTGATGGTAATGGTGGTGACGGAGCCTAGTTTGGGAGAAGGGTATCTGTGATTTGAATAATGATGGGGCTGGTAATAGAGTTAGAGGTGGGTAATGGAGATAGAGGTATTAATTGTGGTAAATTTGATGGTGGTGGTAATGGGTAATGTTATGCCACTTTGGGTTTAATGGTACATGGGATGAGAAGGAATGCAGAAAATGCCACCTGGAGTGATGAACATGAACTTGTCTCATGTGTCCCTTTTAATCTATAGCCACATTCCTATGACCATGTAGCCTCCCCTCCCCATCACCTCATCACCATGAACAATGACATCTTCTGAGGACTCAGAAGGTTATCCTGACTGTCCTTCTGTCTTGGCTTGGCCTTGACTCCTGAGTAGCCAGTGGGAAAGTCTCAGCAGGCCCCAGTGTCTGATGATCAGAGGCATGGCACCACCCACCCTACTCCTACCCTGTCTCTTTTCTCCAGGTATACCCAAGGGACCTCTCTCTACTAACAAATGTACCTCCAATGTCCTTGATCTTATGGCCCCTCTCTAGCCCCTGACTGAACAGCCTCCATGAAGCCACTTATTTCTCTGTGCCCATGTCCTCAGAGCTCTCATAGCTCCTCACCCATGGAGCATCATGTAGGCTGTGGCAGTCATGTTGGACCTCAGGAGGTGAGTGTGCCCAGCAGATCTCAGGCTTGGAGAATGGGGAAAGCAGGGATTCTCTACAACCCTATAAAGCTGTCCTCCTTGGCACGGTCCCACCACCTTTCACTCCTCTCTCTATCCCTCAGTTCACACCTATAACCACCACACTGAATGACATGTAGTTCTCACTCCTCCACAACTGGCCCATGCTACTCCCTCTGCCAGGAATGTCCTTTCCTCGTCATCTGGCCAACTTCAGTTTGTCCTTCAAAATTCAGTCTAAGAATCATATCCATCTGAGGCCCTTCCTTGAAGGGCCCAGTCTGGGCTAGGAGTCTCTGCCTGAGTGCATATAGCACATGTCAAGTGAAAGTTAATTTACAACCACCTTCTTGAGAGCCCTCTATGCTTTGCCTCAATTCTCAGACAATGTCCCATGTCTGGCATAGCTTCTGGTACATGTGGAGCTCAGCAATGGCCTGAAGAATTAGTTGAATGAATGAATGAATGAATGATTGAAAGAATGTTAAATAATGAATGAGTAATCATGGCATTCCCTCCTTCCTTCTCAGTAATAGGAAGAGAAATAAAAAATTGGGCAAGATACCATTTTTCATCTATTTGATTATTCTGGGAATTTTTCCTAGCACTAGACTTGCAGAGATAAGCAAAGATTGGAGCCAGTATGTTAACTTTGATACTACTTGAAAGAGTGAAAAGTTAGAGAGAATCTAATGAAAAATCAACAAGGAGTAGGTTAAATAGATTATGGATCATTCATGCCATGGACTACTATGTAGCCATTAAAAAGAACATCCTCATATATTACTGGTAGGAATGTAAAATGGTGCAATGTTTGGCAATTCCTCAAAATGTTAAAGATAGAATTGCCAGGGGCACCTGGGTGGCTCAGTTGGTTAAGCATCTGACTCTTCGTTTTGGATCAGGTCATGATCTCATGGTTCATAAAGTCCAGCCCTGTGTCAGGCTCTGCACTGACAGCATGGAGCCTGCTTGGGATTCTCTCTCTCTCTCTCTCTCTCTCTCTCTCTCTGACCCTCCCCTGCTTGTACTCTCTCTCACACACAATAAATAAACATTTTAAAAAATTGATTTAAAAAACAACATAGAATTACCAGATGACCCAGCAATTCTACTTCTAGGCATACACCCAAGAGAAATGAAGACATATGTCCACACAAACACTTGTAAACAAATACTAATAGCAGCATTATTCACAGCAGCCAAAAGGTAGAAACAACCCAAAGCCCATCAAATGATAAATGGATACACAAAATATGGTCTATTCACAGAATGGAATATCATTCAGCCATGAAATGGATGGACCTCGAAAACAATGCTAAGTGAAAGAAGGAAGTCACAAAGAGCCACATATTGTATGAAATGTATTTCATGTATTATAGGAAATGTTCAAAATAGGCAAATCTATACAGAAAAAGAAAGTAGATTAGTGGTTGCCTAAGAGCTGGAGGTGTTGGGGAGATTTGGGAGTGACTGTTAATGGATAAGGAGTTTCTTTTTGGGGTGATCAAAATGTTCTAAAATTGATTGTGGTGATGGTTGCACGACTCTGTGAATACACTAAAAACTGTATTTTAAGATATCGCTGGGCATAAAAATCATTTCAGAATAGCAAGTATAATATGCTCTTCTATTTATGAGGGGGGAGAGAGAGGGAGAGGGAGGGAGAGAGTTATAAACATAAGGAAAAAGCCATTGGGACACCTGGGTGGCTCAGTGGTTAGAGCATGTGACTCTCGATCTTGGGATTGTGAATTTGAGCCCCACGTTGGGTGTAGAGATTAAAAAAAAAATTTTTTTTTTAATGATCCACTGGGTGCCTGGGTGGTTCAGTGGGTCGAGTGTCCAACTTCCGGCTTTGGTTCAGGTCGTGATCTTGCGGTTCTTGAGTTTGACCTCTCATCGGGCTCACTGTTGTCAGCACCAAAGCTGTCAGCACAGAGCTCACTTGGGATGATCTGTCCCGCTCTCTCTCTCTGCCTCTCTCTCTCTCTCTCTCTCTCACACACACACACACACACACACACACACACACACACACAAACATTTTAAAAAATCCATTTATAGGAGTTACCTCTAGATGATCAGATTCATGGACAGGGGGCTTTCCTGTTTTATTCTATATGCTGATAACATTCACTTTTATACTACAAATATGACCTGCTTTTGACATTTTTATTTAAAAAAAATTTTTTTTAACGTTTATTTATTTTCAAGGCAGAGAGAGACAGAGCATGAACGGGGGAGAGTCAGAGAGAGAGAGGGAGACACAGAATCTGAAACAGGCTCCAGGCTCTGAGCTGTCAGCACAGAGCCCGACACGGGGCTCGAACTCACAGACCGCACGATCACGACCTGAGCCGAAGTCGGACGCTCAACCGACTGAGCCACCCAGGCGCCCCTGCTTTTGACATTTATTTTTTTTTTTTAACGTTTATTTATTTTGGGGACAGAGAGAGACAGAGCATGAACGGGCAAGGGGCAGAGAGAGAGGGAGACACAGAATCGGAAACAGGCTCCAAGCTCCAAGCCATCAGCCCAGAGCCTGACGCGGGGCTCGAACTCACGGACCGCGAGATCGTGACCTGGCTGAAGTCGGACGCTTAACCGACTGCGCCACCCAGGCGCCCCGCTTTTGACATTTTTAAACAAGAAGGAAGGTGAAAGCATGTGGGGGCCCCACTGAAGTCTGGTAAATTAGGACCTAGAGCCCCCTGGCATGCATGTCAGAGGAAAGGGGATCCCAGGAGGCAAGGGTGGGGAATAGGAAATGGTTACACAGGTTTTGGAATGTCAGAGCTGCATCTGAGTCATAAAGTAGAACTTCAGAACCTGTCTCTTTTACCACTGATCCCAGGCACAGCCAGAAGCCTGTCCTGAGACAGAAATTGTTTATGTATTGCCTAGGGGAAAATTTTACACCTGGTGAACATAGGGTCCAAACTACAAAAGGTACCGCAAGTACACTGCAGTGAAGCCTCCCTTTCTCCACAGCCTTCCTCCCTGAAGCAACCAGAGATCCCTCACTCATCTATAAATAGCTGTACCTCATACACATGGTTCTTTTACCTATTCTTAGTCTTGGAGACCAGTCCTTAAGCGTATACAAAGTGTCTACACCTCCTTCACTGTAGAGCCTCCCAGTACACTGTGATAGGGTCCCCATCATATGGCTGGCCATGCTGTACTGATCAGCCCCAACTAGTGGACATTTAGATTGCTTCTGAACTTTTGTTTTTACAAGTCCACAGTCTCTTATCCAAACCATTGGGATGAGAATTCTTTTGGAATTCACATTTAAAAAATTATGTATATGTATATATATATGTGTGTGTGTGTGTGTGTATACACACATAATACTTAGTGCGTATTCCATATATTATGAAATACCCTAATAGGATCCAACACCTTGATATTTCCATTGCAAACATGTATGATAAGTGGAATTAATGAAGATTATAAATGGTCTTGTCAAGTTTTGATACCACATGAGTTTGTGTGAATCTAGTGAAAAAACTCCCATTGCCAGAATGTTTTGAGTGTGAGATAGCAGATGAGGTTTGGGGAGCTCCATGGAAAATGCTGCAGTGAGTAACTTTGGACACATGGAATTTCACAAGTTTACGAATCCATAATATGATTCTGTCAGTGGCAATGCTAGGTCATAGGCTGCATTCATTTATAATTTTCATAGATTTTTCTAGAATAATGACCATTGTTTCTCCTTGCCTGTGAGCTTTTTAGCTATATGGTTTTCCAAACTCACTTGTGTCTGTTAACTTTGGGGCAATGCAAATACTTCCTCCCTTCCTCCCTGCACAAAGCTAGACTCTGAGCCTCCTTGGAGAGACAACCAGGGGAGCTGAGAGAGCAGAGGCTTTGCTATCAGAGACAGAGAGTAGCCCTCTTCCACCTGTGTGACCCTTTATCTGTTCCTGTCCTGAGCGTCTGTTTCCATCTCCATAGAGACAATCTAATCTGCCTCCATGGCAGTCCATTCCCACTTGCCCACCAACTTGCACTCTTCTCCCCTGCCCATTCCCAGCCACAGTGCCTAGGCTTTTCCCTCTTCCCCAAAGGAAGAAGAGTCCAGGCCAACAGAACGAAAGGTCCACAGGCTTTTTAATGGTGTGATGGCTACTTCCCTTCCAAGACCCGATCTAATCATGACAGCGGCTTCCAGGGTGTTGGGGTGGGGGTGGACAGGTGCAGGGTGGGCAGAGGCCATGCAGTGACTGGGAAGAGGTGGGGGAGGGTGTTACATTCTGTTTGGCATGTAAACATTCTTCAGTGGCTTCCCTGGGGGAGGGGGAGGGCACCTCCCTGCCCCCCACTCCATGCCCACCAGGGCTGATCCCCGGAGCTGAGAAGACTGAGCCAGGCCCCCGTGAGGAGCCCGGAAGGGGGGTGCCCACATGAATGGGACATGGCCCTTCTCCTGCACCCGCTTCGTGCACAGTGTGGCTTGGGAGGGGAGGCATGTTCTGGGGTGAGCAGACCTGTGTCTGAGCCAATGACACAGGTTTGTCATCATGGGGAAGTGCTCGAGGGGTGAGGTGGTGGTAGTGGTGGTGGTGGTGTGGCACTCTTATAGAGAAAGGGCTCAGGCCCAGGAGGGCTTGGTGGAGGGGATGGATGCTCAAGGGGGAAGAGGCTGCAGCTGGGGGTGGGGACACTGGGAGGTGTGGTGTCCTCTGCCCTGGATCCTTCCTGGGGAGAAGAGCAGAGTCAGTTCCCTAGTCCCCTCCCACACTCACCCCTACCCCTCCTCCCCCACCTTGGTGACATTCCATGACACAGAGGCCTGAGGTCAGTTGGGAGCCCTAGGGAGGTCTGGAATCCCGAGAGCAGACAGGGTTTTGCGTCTCTGCCCAGCTCCAGTGCTGGGTGAAGCTAGGGGTCAGATGGGCCTGGGGCTCTCTCAGGCCACCCCCTTTTCTTCCCAACACCAAACCAGGGTGTTGTTGGTCCTGGGGCAGAGGTGAAGCTGGGGGCCCTACATTCACGGTTCGGTTGGTGGCAAGGAGCAGGCCCAGGACCTGGGCACCGGGGGTCATGCCCTGGTCCCCACCTGGCACGAGCTGATTGTCATTCGGAGAAGCTCTAGGTGGCAGGGAGTGGCCCCTCTTCCACCCCCTCTGTTGGACCCAGAGGGCAGTAGAGGCCTTGGGAGGGTCTTGGGTTGACAAAGAGGGCTCTGTCCGGAGAGGTTTCCTGAGTGTTCTGGGAGCTTCTGCGTCAGCATGGGATGGACCTCAAAGGCCGTCCACCCTGGAGTCCTCCCCTGGGCTGGTTTGCAGAGAAGCCACCACCTTGGTGTGGAAACAGCTGCCCAAGCCTGCTGACTCTCCAAGAGGGGCTTCAGCTGGCACCACCAGGCTGCTTCCAGGGCCAACTTCCTCATGGGCATCCTTCTAAGCGATGGTGGCTGGATGCTGCCAGACCACTGGGGCTTGCTGGGGCCTTTCTTCCTCTTCCCCTGGTTGCCTAGCCTTGTTCTCTGTGACTCAGAGAACAGAGGGGCCAGGCCAGGGGACAGAGGCTGAGGGTGCTGAGGATGGAGAAGGCCTGCAGGGGACCTGTCCCAGATAGACAGGGTCGGCTGTCCCTTCTGCAGCCCGTGTGCTGCTTGGCCAAGATGTAGGCAGTTGAGGCTCATGATGAGGTGGGATGAGCTATGCAGGAGCCAGACCCAGGAGGAAGCCCCATATCCATTCATGGAGCAGCACAGCCCTCACCCTCTGCAGGGACAGCTCAGCTGCATGGGTTGGGGTTAAGACAAGAGGAGACAGGCTGAAGGGTTAGCTGGGGGAGGAGGGGACTTAGGCTGGACCCATCACACAAGCATACCATCTGGACTTAGAAGGGCCTTTCTGTCTTGAGTCCAGGGGCCAGCTGTCAGGCCAGATGATGGTCCAATCCAGCCCACTCTCCACCCCAGGAGGACAGACAGGGTGACCCGGCCAGAACTGAGTCCATGAATCTCTAAAGGGCCAGTGCAGAGAAGATGAAAAACAGCCATTCTCCACCTCCACTGAACTCAGGAGAGAGGGAAGTTGGCTGAAACTGCAGCAGGCAGGATTGAGGTTAGATGGCAAGGAGTTCCTGATGGTGAGGGGTCCTGAGCACTAGATCAGGAGGCCAAGGGAGAGGGTGAAACCTTTTTTAAAGCCCCCCTCCAACTTCCCATTGGGAAACATGTGCCCAGGAAGGCAGCCCACACACGCTCTCTGGTTCCCATTGAGGACCCACCCAAATTTATGGGGAGAAGGACTTTGCACCCTAGGGGTGCAGAAGAGCAGCCCCCCCCCCAATCACCTGCCCACTATCTTCCACAGGGGTGTCCAGAATGGAGCGGACTTTGGGGCTGGTCAGATCTGCCCCCTCACACCTGAGTAGACCAATGGCCCCTGGATCCCAGCTCCCCAACCCCAGCCTAGCAGCTGAGAAGAGAAGGCCTTTTGGACCACCACAGCTTCCAGGAGATTGTGGTATTGGTCCCTGGTGGGGAGGCTGGAACTTCCACTTCCGGAATTTGAGGCTGCCTTTCTCAAAGTGGAGGTGGGTGGGCTTGGGCTGGAAGAAGGCCGGGAGGAGGAAAAGGCGCCGCAGGAGGTGTAAGCAGAGGTCCCTGTGGGAGCACGAAGAGCAGCAGAGGCCTGGCGGGTGAGGGGGCGTCCCCATTAGTGGAGTCCTCAGTGAAAAAGTGGCTGAGCCTTCCCCGGGGCGGAGGGTGAGCCTGCCCCACCCGAAGGGCGGCAGGGGGATGGCAGGGGTCACGGGGAGGGGGCGGAGTACCGGGAGGCTGGCGCTCCCCCCCCTCCCCAACCCCGCGGCGAGGCGTCCCCCTCCGGCCGGGCCGGCGGGCGGGCGCGGCGAATGCTGGCGCGCGTCCTCGCGGGTGCAGGCGGGAAGCTGGGGCCGCGGGTGGCGCGCGTCAGGCGCGTAAGGCTGTGCTGGGAGCTGTTTCAGTGTGGCCGGCTGCGGATGGGGGGCCGGGGTGAGGGTGGGGGGCCGCGGAGAGCCTCGCGCGTCATTATCTGGCCCCGGCCCGGCCCTCCGCGACCCCCGCCCGGCCTTTGGTTGCTGCGCGCTGAGTCTGGAGTTTCCCTCTGGGTCCTTTCTTGGGGCCCCCCGGGGAGGGGGTACCATCAGGCTGGGCCCGGGCCTGCGGGGCGCCCCGGGGCGGGGGACCTGCGGGCCGGGCCTGGTGCGAGGGAGAGGAGCTCTCTTTACGGGACAGGGACTGGCTCCGGGGGGACGCGCTGGGCTGGCGTGGCGCGGCGGAGGTGGAGGGGCCTGGACTTCGCGGGGCGGGGGGCCTGGTGCCGGCTGGGGCTCGCCCTGGGCCCGGGCCACGGCCGGGGGGCTGTTTGGGGCGGAGGTCAGCAGCAACGGCCGACCCTGGGGGCTTCTGCAGCTGGAGCCTGCGGGAGGAGGGGGATGGAGGGGTGCAGAAGGCAAGAGAAAAGAAGAGGGCAAAGAAACAAAAAAGGAGAGACATTTTCAGAATCTCTGGGCACTGAGCCCTAGAGTCCTGCGTCTTCAGAGCTGGATGAGGCTGAGGAGATCATGGCACAGGTGAATAATCTGAGGCCTGGTGCTTCATCCTCCAGGGTGGGACCTCTAGAGTCCACCCTCTCCCAGGCTGCTCCCCAAGAGCTTGCTGCAGGCTTTCTTGGACGTCACTGTTTCATCTCTGAAATTCTCATGGATTTTACATTCTACTCTATAATGTACCCGTGTTTACATTGATATGAATCGTGTTTTTTCCCAACTACTCTGCCCTTTATCCTTTGGCTTCAAATGCCTCATGACATACCTGAGGCTGTGATGTGAGCTCCACTGGCCCCTATTAACCTTTCCCAAGTTTGGCCTCCTTGGCACCCCTCTAGACATGTTCACTGTAGCCCCTCCCTTGAGCCCAGTGACAGGGCTGGGACCTGAGTCAGAAGAGACACTTAATGGGGAAGGTGGTGAACAGGTGTAGCTGCATCCTCACTAGGCCCTGACCTTGGCTCTGGGGAGGCCCCTGCTGGTGGAGGCCTTCTGTGGTCACCCTCTGCCCACCCTGGGGCTGGCAGAGGTTTCTCACCTGCTGGTGATGGCTGTGTCAGATGCGGGGGCAGCTCTGTGGGGTCTGCCAGGGGACTGCTGGGCTGCAGCAGGCGTGGGCATGCGGATGCTGATGGGGCGGGGAATCCGGCTCCGGGTGGTAGCTGCCCGCCCTGCCTTCCTGGGGGCGGCAGGCTCCGAGGCAGGCGTGTCCTCCTCTGAGCCCGTGCCTGAGAGCGTCTCAGAGGCACGGCGCTGCTCCTCACTGGAGGAGGACGAGGCCCCAGAGGCCAGCCGCAGCAGCAGGCGGCCCTGCCTCTTCTCCATCACCAGCCGTGCCAGGTCCTGCTGTGGTCGGGCCCTCTTGCCCCACCGCTCTTTGGCCGACAGTGAGCCCGAGGGCTCCGAACCTGTGTCCTCCTCAGACAGCAGGACAGGGATCCGGCTCCTGGGGCGAGGGCCTAGCATGGCATGGCGGCTGGGGGAGACAGTGGCCAGTTTCTCTGGGCCTGGTTCCAGCGGGGATGCTGGAGCTGGCCCGTTAACAAGGGCTGGGCCATTGGGCAGTGAGTCTGTGGCCACCTCCAAGGGGCTATCCATCGGGGGTCCAGACAGAACACAGCTCTCCAGCCCTGACTGGGCGATGCCATTCTCCAGGGGCACGGAGGCCCCCTCCTCCACAACCCTCCCGTCAGAGGGTGCCTCCAGGCCCAGCTCACCCCCAGCACCCAGCTCCTCAGACCGGGAGGCTTGTCCACCGGAAGACATGACATTGAGGTGGGTTTTCTCTGCAATGTGCACAAAGGTCCTCTCAACTTTGGTGAAGGGTGAGGAGGTGACTGCCACTCCTCCTGCCCCTGTGGTCACTGCCCCAGCCCCTGGCCCTGTTCCCAGCCCAGGGGGCTTGGGCTCAGACTTGAGGACAGAGGACAGGGTGCCTGGCTCAGACACGTCCAGCTGGCTGCCGGTGGGCTGGGGCCGCTCTTGCTGAGGAGTGAGGGCAGCCAGAGTGCCCAGGTCAGGGTCAGGGGCCAGGTCGGCAGTGACGGGCGACTTCTTCATGTCGCCAGGGGAGACGAGCACCAGCGTTTTGGAGCCCTCCTCAGGCTCCAGGTCCCCGTCGGCCATGGAGGCCCGGCCCCTGGACTCCTTCTGGTCATCAGCCAGCAGCGTGGAAGGGGCACCCTCTTGGCTCCGGTCAGTGCTCCTCTCACTCCCATCACTGCTGGAGCCACTGCGAGGCCCCAGCACCTCCCCTAGAGCCACTGCCTCCTCCTCCTCTTCCTCCTCCTCCTCCTCCTCCTCTTCTTCCTCCTCCTCCTCTTCTTCCTCCTCCTCCTCCTCTTCTTCCTCCTCCTCCTCTTCCTCCTCCTCTTCCTCCTCTTCCTCCTCCTCCTCCTCATCCTCCTCCTCCTTCCCATTAGCTTGAGGCTGAACAGGAGCCAGTGGGACCTGGGAGGTGGTGAGCAGCATGTGGGAGAATCCCACCCTCCGGACCCTGTTGAGCAACCGAGCCCGTTCTCGGTAATCAGAGAGGTCTTTCTTGAAGTCCTGGTAGGGCAGGCTCAGAGGCACAGCTCGTGGGAGACCATTGACCTCAAACGGGGATGCCACGGAGAACACCTGCAAGAGGCACATACAGGGACTGGCTGAGGTCACCCACCCTGCCGGGCCCAAGGAGACCTGGGCTGTGCCCACAAGCTAGGAGGCCCACGTGCCCAGCCATGTGCACCAGAGTGTGTGCTCCATGAGGGTAGGCACTGGGTCTGTTTTGTTCATTGCTCTGTCCCCCAAGGCCTAGAATGGTCCCTGGCACCTAGTAAGTGCTCAGTAAATCTCTGATGAAGGATTGTGTGCATGCTCCAGTTCCCCTGAGGACCCCCGGCCCTGATCCTGGCAGTTTCTCTGTCTCCCATATTCCATCTCCCTCACTCTTCTCCCTGCCTCCAAAACCCAGGGCCAGCTCTGGTTCAGTCAGTAGAAGACAATGACAGCTGCAAGGCATCGTAGCCGCCATGTAGATCAACAGTCCCTTTGACAGATGAGGAAATCAGGTCTGGAGGGGGGCAGCAAGTGTCTGGGTCAGCCCTCACTGCTCCTTGTAGGGCACAGTTTCTCTGCAGCCAGGGAGGGAGCTGGCCACCAGGGCCATCAGAGCTGTGGAGGACAAGGGCAAAGTTCGGCAGTCTTCCACACCCCAAAATGCAGGCTGGGCCCCTGGAGCTCCAGCCCCCCTACCCTCCTGTCAGTCAAGAACTTTCCAGCCCTCTACAGGTGTGTTTTGAGTCCATACTTCCTTCGGGAATTCACAGCCAGCTTACGAAGGGCAGTTTCTTTCCAGTTGATTAAGTTTTCCCTTTTGAAGCTTTGTCCAGCTTGGCAATGTGATGGCCTGTTCTTGGTTTTCTAGGCTCTTGCCACATCTCCCCTTAGCCTCCTCCCTTCTGGACTGGAAAGACCTGACCACCTTCTCAGGACCTCAGCAGCTGCAGAGCACATGGGCACATCTGCCTGGTGGTTCCCCAGCCGGTGGCCTGTTTTGTCCCTCCCGCACTGCCCACCCATCCTTCCGACAGCTGCTACAGTAATCTTCCTGAAACTTGAATCTGATCCTCTCTCTCTGTCCACTTCAAACCTGCACAAACCTACAGGAGCCCCCACAGTCCTCAGAAAACAGTTCCAGTTCTTGGCTTGGCACATGACAATCCTGTTTCTCACTCCTTGGTCTGGCTCCTACCTTCAGTTCTAGCCTCACTTCCATCAGTGCCCTCTGATCCCCGCCTTGTGCTCCAGCCATGCTGATGCCACCAGAAGTTCCCCAAATGTATCATGGTTCTCAAACTGCTGTCTTTCCCTCTGGCAGTTCCCTCTGCCTGAGTCCCTGTCACTTCCTCTGGGCACATGACAAATACCTATTCTTCCTCCAGGACTGAGCTTAAAACAACCTTCCAAAACACCTTCCTGTCCACCCACCAAGCAGGCATCATCACCCTCCCTTCTACTTGTTTTCCCTGAGGGTTTTTCTCTTCTTCCTCCCTCCCTTCCTTCCTTCCTCCCTCCCTCCCCCCTCCTTTCTTCCTCCCTTCCTCCCTTCTTCCCTTCCTCCCTCCCCCCTCCTTCCTCCTTTCCTTCCTCCCTTCCTTCCTTCAAGAAGAAGTCCTAGAATGTCTGTTGTCCTGGCCACCATGTTAGAGCCTATGCATCTGTGCATCAGGTATTGAACAAGATAGATATGGTCCTTATTTTCACAGAGTGTGCAATCTCTCTATTAGGAAATGAAATTGGGATAATGCATACTCCACAGAGATTGTGATCATAAATGAGATCAGATAAGCAATGGGTCTGGCGTATAGCAGTTGCTCAATAAATATCAGCTCCCTCCCACCCCCACCTCCTGCCCCCTGCCCTGCTTCTCTGGTTTGGAGATCACTGCCTCCTCTGTAAGCCCAGAAATGCCTGGATGCCACACCTATGGGAGATAGGGTGGTGAGAAAAGGAGGGCCTCTCCTAGCTGAGGTTTCTGCAAATAGCCAGAGGCTGGTGGAGGGGAAGGTGGGAATCCCCAAGTCTGAGGATCTGCCCAAGGCTGTGACTTTTCCTCTCCTCAACTGCCATAATCTTTTGCATGATCAGACCATCCATGAGGATGTAATGAGGGTTGGGGGCATGCAAGATGGGGTAGCATCCGACCCCAGGCAGGACCCCTGCACACCCTGTCTGAGCCAGGCACCAGATGGCCTTAGAGCTTTTTCTCCTTCACATCCAGGCTGGAAGTCCTCAGCAATTGTTTTCTTTTTCTGCACTATTCTCATTCATTCATTCATTCATTCATTCATTCAGCAAATATTAAGCCCTAGTTCTGTGCCAGGCCTTGTGCTGGGGGCCCTTTGTCATGTTTAGTTACCAACAGTAAGGCTAAAGACTGGGCAGAGGTGAGGGGGATGCTGTGAGACCCTGGGTGAGTTGCCAACGTGGTGTAGATGCCCGTACTGAGTGCTAGGTACCTATAGACAGACGGCGCTCTGATCATGTCTCCCTACTGTCTAGCTTAGAACTCACCCACCCAGCAGAACCTCTGCCTATTTTCCCTGTCCCATCTTTGACACTTTGAGTGTCCGTGGCACAACTACCTTTCCCTCTAGCCTTTAGAAAAGACCCATCCATAGGACAGACCCTCTGTTCACAATGTCCATGTTAGATGATCACAGGTGGAACCTTCTCCTTCCATCTCAAAGCCCTCCCCTTCTGTTACATGGGAGGGAGGAGGGATGAGAACTGAAATCAGGCATCAGTGACAATGTCAGATTGAGAAACTGAGGCCTGGAGAGAGGCACTGGCAAGCCCACTTCACAAAGCACATCAACCAGCTTGGCCCAGAACCCCAAACTCTTTCCATCGCCTCACTGGCCTCCCACCCTCCCATGCAGGGAAACCTGGGACCTTCTGCCCTTTATCAGGAAGAACCTTAACCTCAGAACGGGGACAGACTTGCCCTAAGGATCACTGACAAGCCCACCCAGGGCCTGGGCATACTGGATTTTCCATTTCAGAGTCCCTCCACCTCTCCCCATCTGGCTCCATGTTGGGAAGGACAGCCTGGGCTCAAGTTCCTCCTTCCTCAGAGAGTGGGAGGTCCCCTTCACCCTCCCCCACCCTCTCCTGAATGCCTGAGCCCAGTGAATATTCATCCACTTGCCCATGCCATCCTGTGCTCATTCATTCAGCCAGAGTTCACTAGACAGCCTCTGTGTGCTTGGCCGTGTAGATTTGTGGATACCGTGGGAGGGGGACAGCAGTGACACTCTCCCATTCCAGCTCAGAGGGCAGCAAGTGTGCTGGGTGTCAGCAAGGGGAACTCAGCATCTGGGAGGACTCACACCTTCCTACTCCCTTCCTAGGTCAGCGACCCTTTATGATTCCAATTTACTTGTTGTGGCTCTCCACACTGGCTTGGCACTGGAGTCTCTCGGGGTGCTTTTTAAACCTAAAGAGCCCTGAGTCCTATTCCCTACCCCCCACCCCTAGTCTGTAGGTCAGAGACGAGGCCCAGAAATCTCTCTATTTTAAATCTCCCTGGTGGTTCTGATGGAGTTTGGCAAAAGGCTGCTACTGTAAGGGTGAATCATGGAGAAGGTGAGGCAGGCCACTGGAGCTAAGACCCTCAGAGAGAACGAAAGTCCCAGCCCTCCCCTTGCTGGGGTCTGAGCCCAGACCCCAAGGCTGTGGCCTCCCCAGCTTCAGAGCCCAGCCCTAATCCATGTTTACTCCAGTCAACAGGAAAAGTGGAGGGATGGACCAGCCTCTGATCTTTCCCTGCTGCTGAGGCTCTCCTCAGCCTTTGACACTAGTGACCCCCCACGCCGGGGACTGGATGGGTTACATACCTCCATTCCCTAGATGGAGTGCAGAGAGCAGCTCTGCCTGGACCCTGGCCAAACCCAGACATTGCACACTGCACTTCAGCCCACAGTCCCAAGGTCAAAGAAGGGGGGCTGGTGAGTGACCAAAGCTGTAGGATGGACCCGGACATCCCACCCCTCCCCCACAAGGCTGGCGCACACCTCCCATCTCTCATCCTCCCGGGGAGCCCCCATTGCCATAATTGCCCCGCATCTCTCTTCCTCCCAGGGAGCCCCCATTGCCGTAACTCCCCCACCTGGAACCAGAGATGAGAAGTGGGCAGTGTAGCACTCTGACCACCGTTGCCTTTCCCAGACCTTTCAGCTACCTATCCAAGTTTCCACTCTCAAACCACACCTGCCAAGCCATGGCCCTCCCTGCACGCCTCCACCCCAGGGCCACCCACGTGGACACACTGGCCATTCATGCTTATCTGGGGGCGGGGAGGGGTAAGAAGACCTGAGAAGGTGGCTGCCTACCCTGGGTCTAAGCAGATCCCCGCACACTTGAATCCCAGGTCTCAGTGCTCCCAACCCATCCTTGCCTGCCCCAGAGCTCACAGCATGAGGACATTCTAAATGCTTCAGGGGCAAGAAATGCAGCTCTAGCTTACCCTTCTGCCCCCACACTTGCTTCAGGCCCCAAGGAGTGAAGTGTGGCACTGTGACAGCAGACCTGCAGGAGCTGGGTGCAGGACGACGGAGGGAGAGCCTCCCCTCTTACACGCACTCTCTCTCTCTCTGCAGCAATCCTCCTTCTTCCAGTCCCACTCCTCTCATGGAGCTGGTCTTCCCTCAACCCACATTCTATCCGTCAGCCTCCCACCCCCGCCCCAGGCTCTGCACAATCCACTCTTTCACTGATCCCCCTGGACAGACCATTCTCCCCCAGGCCAGGGCCATCTCAGATCCCCCATCAGAGCAGAGGGGCAGGGGAAGGCTCCTATGGCCCCTTCACAGAGCTCGCTGGCTTCCTGGCCTCCTTCCCACTGCAGGCAGGCACAGGCGCTTGGCCTCAATATTCTGATCCACAGAGAACAGATTTAGGTGCCCACCCACCTACTTCCCATCCCTCTTCCTGTAAGTTGGCAATTTGGTTTCAGGCCCCAGAGACCAGGGTCCATCCCCAAACCACTCCTCCAGATGAAAGAAGACAGGGTGAGGGTTGCTAGAGTCCAACTAGGCCCCAAACCTCCTGCGGTCCCCCTCCCCCTCTCCATTGGT